TAAACACTGAAACCAATAATTTAGGAATTGGTTTCAGTGTTCCTTTAGACCTTATAACATTAGGTTTGGAACAGTTTACAGCACAAACATGGCTTAAAATAATACTGTACAAAACAGGGAAGGTGTAAAGGGATTAGAAGCTTTGTAAAACTTGCTGCTCAAAGAAAGGCTAGTTTAGGGAAAATCCAAGTTTCCTGTTGCAGAAAAATGAAAGGGGAAAAAAAACAAAAACCCTGAGCAGCTGGGCAAGAATAGTCTGTGGGTATGATTACTAAGCAAGCACAAGGAAACAAAACTAAATGACACACCTTTTCTTGCTCTTTATACTCATGTTTCCTTTATGAAGTACTAAAGAATGTTCAACCAATCAGACATTCACCTTGAGTGTTCAGTGCCTATAAAATGCTTTGAATAGCAAATGCCATCACACTATTGGTACAGAGTTAGTAGGTAGATGGAAACCAAGAACTGAGCCAACAATAAGTTTTTAATATATAAAATTAAAGAGTTAAAATAGCTAACAAGCTTGACTATGAGGATCCAAAAAATATCTAATTTGAGAAAACCTCATTTGCAGCCTAACTAGTGAAAGAACTCTGCCTCTGCAGTACTCACAGGGCAACTTATCCCTGTATGATCTAATTTACAGGATATCCCATGCAGAAGCAGGATAATACACTGGTAAAAACTAAAAAAGCTATTACCTGTGCAAAATGCAGTCCGGCTGCATAACAGCTCAAACTCCTTTGAGCTGAGCAAGTTGTGCACTGTACTTAACCATAGTTTCAGAAAACATTTTAAGCAGAATTCTACTGATTTTGGCGAAAACTAGAAAACCAGAATGGAGAAATGGGAGAGCATAGGAATACTCATTTGTCTATCAGCCTGAACAGATTTCAGCTAGCTTTATAATGGTGTTTGGAGCAAAGAATCAACAGGTGCCAACCACTATTACCATAACAAGACCCCTCCATCTGTAGTCAGCTGATCTCCGGTAGAGTTTTTGACTTATCTCCTACATCAAAATAAGTGAAATAAGAGTGGGAAGGAGGCCAGAACACCTGGCATCAGAATTTGGGAAAACAGTACAGAAGGCATCCACAAAAACTCCTCTCAAAGGGAGGAAGGGATGAATGAAGGGCGCACAGAACCTCTTACTTGGGGAAAAGAAAGGCCAATATTATGGGGAACTGGAATATCCTAACAGTCCCTGGCAGGTGGCAGAGAAAGGCTGAACTGGGGAAGTGAGAAACTGGAGTTCCCATGACCTGGAAGCCATGATAGGCAGAGACTTTAGCACAGTGGAGAAAGCACAAGAAGTGGGATGGGAAGGATAATGTGTAGACAAAGCCTCTGGTACAAAGCGCACTGAATGTGGGGGATGCTGCATGAAGCCCTGAAAATACAGGGATATGGAAAAATGACACAGAGATCACTGACAAAACAGAGGACTTCAAGTTGTTCCTGCAACAGTTTTTAATGCATGAAACTTACAGAAGTAGGTAAGCCAGCAACCCTTTCATTTGGTGGTCTCTTATTCCCAGGTCACAGGTGATGTTGCCCATGAGACTCTTGGACATGGCTTTTAGCCACAGGAAATGGAAGACTTAAAACTAAGGCTGATCAGGAAAGCAAGGGAGGATGTTGCCTAGAGTGCATTACTCATTCAGTAGTGCTGCCACAGGCCAGAAAAGTTCAGAACCACTGTTCTCATAACACTCCCCCCCACCCCACCCCCACTACTAATACCATATTGTATTGCAAAAACATGCCCCCAAACAGCATGCACCCC